TAATATATCTCACACATCTCACACACGGCCGTCTGATCCCAAACTAGGCAGAGCCTGTGCTATGGTAACCAGACTGCTGATAAACATACTTATATATTCCTAAAAAACATACATATTTTAGATAAATTACACCCAGACACAGAACAAATGACCGTACTCATCACACAATATTTTTCCTGGGTGGGTATCGAACCTACGACCTCCGGCTTAGCAGTCAGGGTCACTAACCACTACACCAACAGCAACTGCAATTACCCATTTCTTAATATCAATATAATCTTAGTAATGTAATAGTCAATCCACATGATATTTTTAATTCAATTTAAATCAATCCATATTTGGGGTCAACACGGTATAATAATAACATACATTTACAGTTTACAGGATATTCGTGCTAATTCTATGTTAAAATAGATTTAGCGCTTTTAAAATTTGTATTTAGTATAAAACCCAGGGTAGAATTCTGTTCGACAAAAGCACAATACACTTTCACCCAATAGATGCAACGCAGGCATGAAATATTGAACTGTCCGCAAGCAGTAATTTATACACCGGTGTACCAACAACTGGTGGTTGCTACCATGGGTTTTTGAATTTAAAATGTTAATGGTAATAAAACTGAGTGGATGTACTCAATTGTATATTACACAGACAGAACGGCTAAATAATCTATACAAATAAATAAAATTGGAGTGTCTGTTTGTAATATTAAAATAACCGCTTTTTACTAAATGCATATGTATGTTTACACGGTACATATGCCAAAATAACATTTTTTATAATTTTTGTCTGTCTGTCTGTTTGTTCCTTGTAATCTCTGGAACGGCTGGACCGATTTCGACGGGACTTTCACTGGCAGATAGCTGATGACATAAGGAGTAACTTAGGCTACTTTTTTAGACTAGCTTCGCCCCGTGGCGTTTCCCGCGGTTATAAAAACAAACGCGGGTAACACCGCGGGTCTCAGTTAGTTCTACATAAAATTTGGCACAGAGATAGATTATATCATCTTATCCCAATAATGTTTGGGGTCGACGCAATGTGTAATATTATATTTTCTTTTATATTTGTCTTTTACGGCCGGTCAACTAATAGACGCTAATCATCCTTAGGAATGTGACCGCTTTCAGGCAGGAAATTTTTGGTTATTTTCTAGTTATTTGTGGTCTTAGCACTCCAACTGGTAAAAAAGATGCAGTTTCTTTATTGATTACACTAAACTCCCTAACTATCGAATTTGTTACATCACACCACTGTATATATCCACTATATACTGTATATAGTCCACTGTATAACATAGGCCTCTCCTTAGAAAGGAGGTTTTGGTCTACTATACCACGCTGGCTGACGGGTTGGTGTAAAGTTTGTTTCAAGTTTTCCTTCTCTTTGCAGTGCTGTTGTCCTGCGTAGTTTACTCCCTTAGTCGGCTCTTACGACACCCACGGGATGAATAGGGGAGTGACACTGTATTCTTAATCTGTCAGCACACAGACTATACTACAGTTTAACTATACTATATAGTTTTAAGTATACCATAGTTTCTTTTTTGATTACACTAAACTCCCAACTATCGAAAATGTTACATACCTTATATAAATATATCTTACAATATAGTATAAGGGCGATGTGGTCACACAGCGACAAAGCCCTTCAATAAAAAATCAAATTACAAGCGTACATTTATAATATATATGTACGTATATGTGTATATGTACGTACATATATGTGTGTATATGTTTATATATGTAGTGAACCGTATGTATTTTCATTGTACATTTGATATTATGATGTAACCTCTGTGCACCTACCTTACAAGATTTCTACATCACCCAAAGGTTGACTGGAAGAGAATGCCCTGGGCATTAAGCCCGCCGATGTACAAAAGTGCATAAAGATAAATAAATAAATTATAAGTGAGGTACAATATTCGTTGCTATTAATGTACAATACTCATTATTGCTAACCTTATGATTAGGCCTACAAAACATAGATATCAGAAGTCCAAATAGCTGCAAAAATATGAAGTGTTTCTCTTAAGAATATAAGAGCTGACACTTCTTTAAGTAGGCATAACTGCTTTGTAATATATTTTACTTGATTCTCATTTACTAACGCGGGTCTTTTCAAGAACATATACACAATATAATATACATATTTACAATATTTAACAGTCTTGCATTTCAAATTCGATCAGAACGTCGACTTTCCTTTCGAAGCAATGGTAAACCCCGATCCGTTCAAGTTAATGCGCTAAGCATTTATTACGGCCACTGTAATTTCGAATGCAGCAAGACCTCGCTTGCAGTCACCCGTACATCGTTGTATTATACATCAACGTCAGACTAGTCTACGTAAAAATACGGCAAAAGCAATTGCAGCACAATTGAATGATGTATCGTGTCCGTCCGAGTCCATATTTACTTTAATAGCATTTTTTTTGTATATGTTTGTGAGTGGACGTAAATGTCCGGATATTTTGCAATTGATCATACATATTTGTACGTAACACTGACAGGTCATGATTATTTAATACTGTGAGGTGGACTATTGGCAAGTCTGTTGGTTTCTTTGCTTTGTTGATTTTTTACTTCTACGGATGCCTGTAAGGATGTTCTACAAAGATTTCTCATATTGTGGAATCAATATATTTCATTACAAAGCAGTGGATTAAAAACCTAGATGTTTCCTTGAGTGAAAGAAACTATTAAACACACATTTTTTTACTAAATTAGCAATAGGTATCTGTTTTAAAATAAATTTTGCCTAAAACATCTACTGACTAAAGACTCGATGTCTTAATAATATTTTTTCTTCTCTTCATAAGTTATTTTAATAGTTTTATTTCTGTATAACTGCTTTTATTTTCTCTTGAAATAAGCGTTAGTTGAATCAACTTCGAATAGATGTAGACCACTAACGTTGGAAGTTAATCGGCACGTTAGATCTTTTTTTCCATTTAAAGTGTATCTCAATTTAAACATCTATTACTCGAATTGATTCTCTTGAAGCTGCCTAAATTGGTGGCTGATTTTGAGGGCTTAAATTGAAGTTAAGGTTACATAAATTTTAAGGAAAATATAACTTTCAAGCGTTTTTAAACGTAGACTTCATATTTTATCAATGATATACTTAACATTGTATTTCTGTATTGAAATAGATCTAGGAATAGATAAATCTTTTAAAAGCCGGCTTCAGTTATTTTTATTTCAAGACCAACTATCTCTAACTCGAAAGTTTTTAACGTCACATATAGTTTCCCAAACAGTGTTCTAAGTTTAAACTTTGCTAATTATAACCTGATCAGAAAAATAAAAGAGTTTCACGTTTAAATGGCAAGAGCTTACTTAGCTCACTTAATAAACATCAATAACTAGTCATTACAGATAATAATAATAATAATATTTTCTCACATCTCACACACGGCCGCCTGATTCCCAACTAGGGAGAGCCTGTGCCATGGTAACCAGACTGCTGATAAACATACTTATATTTGTTTCTGATTGGGTGTAAATTATTGATTTATATTAATCGCAGAATTATTTCTAAATACATACTTATTATAGTTAAAGTACACCCGGACACAGAACAATTGACTGTGCTCATCACATAATTATTTGTCCTGGGTTGGAATTAAACCCACGACATCTGACGTAGCAGTCAGGTAACCACTATACCAACAGGCCAATGTCACACTGATTAGTCTCAAACTGCCAGCATGGTTTACTTCAGAGTTTTTAAGATTTAAAAATATTAATAAAACACGTGAGATATAAGTGGTTAGCGCAGTGATGAATATATTTCTAAACAGAAAGTCTCTGTATTGGACTATAATTATCCAAATAACACTACAGATTTAGTTGTTAACACGATTTGTAGTCGTTTAACATCCTTAATATGAATTACTTATTGGCCTCAATATTATTAGTACTGAAACCCAATTAAGAGTCGGAGGTATAGTAAAACTAGAATTTGCTTCTAATAGTGTATTTAAGGTGATAATATTATATTTTTAAACCTTGTTAAGAAACGTATTTTATAAATTTATTTTTTGATATATCGTGTACTCTATATTTGAGTTTGTAAAAATAAAACTTCAATGATTAAAACTGAAATCAATAATGTTCTTTTTAGTAACATATTCTCAGTATTAAAAAGTAAATTATAAAACTCTATTTTACCGCCCATGTTACTGTTTAAGCCTCGATTTTTCGTGGGATTATAAGTTAATTTTGTTCGTCTGTGGCTTCATAGCTCCTTAACAATTGCTAATTCACATGAGTATGACTATACTTCACATCACATCACATCAACAGCCTGTAATAGTCCCCTGCTGAACATAGGCCTCTCCTTAGAAAGGAGGTTTTAGCCTACTATACCACGCTGGCCAGACGGTTTGGTATAGGGTTTGTTTCAAGTTTTCCTTCTCTTTGCAGTGTTATTGTCTTAGTTAGTGTGTTCCCTAAGTCGGCTCTTACGACACCCACGGGATGAATAGGGGTGGTGACACTTCGTATTCTTAATCCGTCACCACACGGACATATACTTAGCTTTGCAATAAAAACGCAATTGAGGTACCTCACCTCAACATTATTTTTATGTTATAGGAAACGAACGAATAGATGGGTCACCTGATGGAAAGTGACTACCGTCACCCATGAACGCCTGAAGCTCAGGAGTCCCAAGCATGCTGCCGACCATTGAGGTGAGGGAGCACGCTCTTTTCTTGACGGTTTGCAGTTAGTATCGGTCTGGAAATATCGGAGGTGACAATTTGTATCGCAGGTTATGTGTATTATATACAAACTTACTATTAAAAGTGTACCTTCAGAGCAAAGCCTATATACATAGTAATTAATTTTGTATCTTTAATTACAGGCACAATAACAACATTCCTAAAAAAAATCTAAATTTCAATTGTCACTATTGTCATACGTCATTTAAATTTGATACCAATGACAGAAATAATACAAAAATATATTATTTACAAATAATTTCACACAATGAATGAAACTAAACCAATATCAGAGAGAGAGTTGCTAACTGCCATAAAGGATCTCTTGAAGAAAAACGGTCTTCTAAATAAAATAAATGCTGAGGTACTAAATATATTATAATTTTCACTGAGTGTAACATTTCTTCTCGACTCCAAGCCTCTTTAACTACAAAGGACGTGCGTGTTACAAAACTGATGATAAGAGCGGGTAATTAGTTAGGCCGTGTTCTTTATTGCCAACTGACTAAATAAAAAAAGAATAATGGTATACCGTGTACCGACGTAAAGTTACCTGCAATATGCTCTGTAAATGACAAGCCACTGTCTTCTTGACTTAAAAGCTGTAACAAGTAATTGGATATAATCAAGGGTACTGTAAATGTGTAATACGTCAATAATTTTTATGTTTAAGTTGAGCCATATACATATGTATTCTAGTTGGTTTCGAAAATATATCGAATTTGACCAAGGTCTTTTCTCAGTTACTCTTAGTACATAGTAAGTGACTGTTAAAACTTAGTATTTTAGTGTTTTAGTCGAGCAGATTTGTTTGCAGAGGATATAGTATAAATTTACTAAATGCTAATATAATACTCCTTTTTTGGGATATAAATTTAATAACTACATTATTTAATTTTGTAACTAATATAGACTAGGAGTGAAGTGTAATTTGCCGTATAGGTATTTTGCGCATAATTATGTCCTTGTTGACCCTACAAAAATTTATTATGTTTTGTGATGTCAACCAACAATGTGATGTCATCTGGAATTTTCAGGATAATTTTGAGAATTATAAATCAGCAATAAATAACAGATTAGTTTAGTTAGACTTCTGATGTTTCTTTTTAAATAGCGACAGCCGCATAGATTTTTGCTTGCGAGAGCTTATTTGCCTTAAGTCCAGTTTCTGAAAGTTTAATGGTATTAACTAATAATATATCTCTTGGCATTTTTTGTACTAGGATATGGGTTGCCTTGTTCTTACTTAATATTTATTGTTCAATAAATATTATATTTACCAATATAATACAGAAACTTCAAATTTTACTCCAAAATTATATTTGGAATGCAATTTTGAAACCAATTTTAACTTAACATCTCTGTAAATTGAGTATTATTTTGATCGCCTCTCAGAAAACGCGTCTAGAGGTTAATTTCAAGCTTGATTTCATACTCCTTATTCACGTAAAAATATGTCGAGTCAACACCCCTTCCTATTGAGAACAAAGCTTAGATAAAATGGTCAATAGGAGAATAAATTTTTGCCGTAGAAAGTACGTCAATTATAAACGAATAAATTGCATTGCATTAATTTAATATCAGCGCTCAATACATTATAAAATTACTAGTATCCACGCTCGATGGACCAACTACTTGTAACCTATGGTCGCGGTTGGAACAATATTGCGATAATAATATAATATGCACCGTTATTATCCCATAAACGTTTAATGAAAACTCTGTGAATAAATATCTGATGGGAGGATGCTTCATTTGCATTGGTGATGCATAACTCTACACGATATGTTTTGAGTCGTTTCATGTACACTTTTTAACTCGAAAATAACCGATGAAATATTAAATTATACGTCATTATCAACAGCCTTTAATACTGCTACTGAGTCCACTTCTGTGCATAGAGCTCTCCTTAGAAAGGAGGGTGTGGCCTACTTAACCACGCTGGCCAGACGAGTCGGTATAGAGTTTGTTTCAAGCTTTCCTTATCTTGGCAGTGCTTACGACACCCACTGCCTCTGTTTATCCCTGCTAGACGTCAACCCATCTTAATAACGACATTTTTTCACACGGGACAATAGGCAAGTCTCCGATGGGCTATTACCTACTTGCCTATTTGAGTGAGACTGCCCAAATGTCCCGTGATTAAAGAGGCCACAGTAAAGGTACATCTGTGACTAAAAAATTCTCGTAAATAGGTAATTTGCACGGCATTTAACGGCAGTGTATTTTATTTTGTTTTTAAGTATAATTTGCTCAACGTTTTACGAAGTACATGCTTGTATTTTGGGGAATATTTTTGTACCCATATAATGGGCTAAATAACGGGGTATGGGTTAAATATGTAAATTACAGATTTTTTCTTTTTAAATAAGTACCTATTTTAGAATTGGTGACGTAATTCATAATGTTTACTTAATTTTGGCCTGTGGGATTGTTTTTTATATAAAAGAATTTAATTCCTAAAGCTTGTTATGAATGCATGGATGGCGTAGTGGTTTAAGCGGTTACCTCGCTGCTTCCTACAGCGTTGAGTAATGTGGGTTCGACTCCACATGGGACAACGCTTCGTGTGTCCCACAAATTGTTGTACTGTTTCCCACAAATTGTTGTTCTGTGTCAGGGTGTTCTTTGTGTCCGTTTCATGTATGTTTGTGTAGTCCCCTGCGACACAGGAAATCACGAGTTTGTGGTATTACCAAACCTTTAAGGAAAAAAGGTACGGAGGTAACCAGTCTGCTCGTCTGTCCCCTCTTACATAAAAAAAAGGATATATTCTTACTGCGGGAGTAGTCTTTAAAATAAAAGAAAGACAAAAAAGAAAATGTTACACAATAAACAATTTTATGTAAAACCAAGTCCATTGAACGAGTATCGAATAGGTATTCTTAGCTGGTAGAGGTAACAGTAGTCTTAAAGAAAAAATAGCCATGAAATATTTGTCCTTAGGTGCGAGCACAAGTAACAGAACTCCTCCAAGACCGTCAGACTGGCGGAACTGTGACATTGGCTCCAACCCCGACTGATGAGGTGCTTCTCGTTAATGAGTTAGTGAGAGAATATTTGGAGTGGAACGGGTATCTGTATACAGCATCGGTCATGACGTCTGAAGCTGCGATGCCCAAGGATAAAAGATCCAGGTCTGTATCCACCTATATTTATGAAAGTGATTCGAGAGGGTTAATATCTTTCTCACAGTAAAGGGATTTCTCAGTCTGGTGAAGTTAATTTCTAAAATATTTGATCACACCCCCTTCCTTTGTTGTGCTTTATATACACCACAAAAATTTAAGTAATTTTTTGTTGTTATTTTGTTTAGTACAAGTTTCATACACGTGTTTAGTCATACTGTTAAGTACCCCTTTTGTATGGGACATTGCTGAGCATTATTAGACAGGGATCAGATATCCCAGTATTCAAAGTGTCGCAAAGAGCGGGCAGTCTCTTCCGAGCCCTGCGATTGAACACATGCCTTTTGCCGTTTTTTGTAACCATTCTTTTTTATTATTTGAAAGCATTTATTAATTTCCTTATTTTTTTAAGTCTAAGTCAAAGCTTCGTGTAAAGGCATAAATGGGTAGACTCAACCGGAGTGATACCACGGCCTCACAAAAAACCAGTATTTAGCAACTTCTTTCTTTACTTTCACTAGGTGAGTGAGTTTTCTAGAGGTTCAAATCTCTCCCCTCTCCCTATTTCGGGGAAAGGGACTTAAAGAACGGCAAGGTAGGTACATGTAAGTTATAAGTTGCAAGTGTCACTTATCATCAAGTGAGCCGTCTGCTTGTCTACACTCTGTAACATAAAAAAACGTTTTTATTAACAGAGCAGACCTATGTGCCGAGGTTGGAGTTAAGGACGATGAAAAATCATCCGCGCTTCCGCTGTTATCAAACATAGTAGCGGCTTATACTGAAAGGATTAAAAGGAAAATAAGCAAGTGCAAGAAAGAACTGAGTTAATGTACTTGTAGTATTTAGCTAAATAAAACTGTTTTATTTATTACTTTCGTTACTGCAACATAGCTAATTCCTGCTAAATTATTCCAATATATACTTTGTGCTAATAGTCATACGGGTAGATTTTTCCTGACCACATACACGTTAGAATAACTAATAAATCTGAACGTTTTTTTATATAAAACGATACGATACCACAGTGCCTGCGTACGTAATTAAATTGTTTCCATGGATTCTAATGTAATAAGTTTGGAACACAGTCTTTTAACTTACATTAATTCACAATTTCTTAAAATGTTACCTGAATAAGCTAACCCTTGATATTTAAAATCATTTAATGAGATCTAAGCATCGTTGTACACTTTTAAAAGCTATCCATACAACTCTCTCAAAGGACTGCCTAGTGCTTGGTTCACTGTTCGTCTAATGGTTCGTAATTTTGACTGCTAAAGACGATGGTCGTAAGTTTAACTTTCACCCAGGATAAACAACTGTGTTTGTTTTGCCTGGTGCTGATTTCTCTGTTATGTTTGAATATTAAAATATATAAGTATATTCATCAGCAGTCTGGTTACTACAGCAATTCCGCCTAATCGAGGATCAGACGACCACGTATGAGATGTACCAATTTATTATTATTATTTTACATTTAATGCTTAGAAAATGTGGTCAGCATTAAACCGTGTTCCTAATTCGAAAACCTAACAAAATAAATGATGAGGTTTGATGGTCTCTATATGGCACAAGTTGTGATAGGATATTCGAGGAAAGCTATTAAGTGACCCATTATGGTACCGTCGCGCACAACTCGAGGTGAACTCATGAAAATGAATTGCACTGGTTATTTCGACGTTATAGGCTTATACTGTGCCGTGATTTTGTCGCAATGGTACCTAGTGTTTATCGCAGTTATATACCTGTACAACCTACACTAGGTTGATATTATTATGAAATATAGTGTAAAAAATTATACTTGTTACCTTGTGCTTTGCTTGAAATTGTTAGATACACTGAACACGTTCAAACTTATCTATGCGTCGCTTTTGAAAACTGTGATATTCTAAATAAGGTTTACACCTAACAGGTGTCTCTGGCCGTGAAAGAAATTAGTCATAACTTTGCACTGTTACAAATTGCACTAACTCGAAATTAAATCAGGAAAAGAGCAAAAAGATGATTATGATAATAAGTTTTCATCAATATTAAATGAAAGTTAAATGAAATCTGTAAATCAACCCTTTAATAGCTCCATAATTTCTTACAAAACACTTAACCACTTATCCCATTCACAAGCATCATTTTTACATGGTAGAGTGTTATAAAACATCATTATCATAATATCAAAACTAACGCTACCGTGACAAACTGTGGGTAAACTACACCAGCACTTTTAGGTATAAAGAGGCTTGAATTAAATCGCTGTCTTCGTCTATTTTCGTAATACTTCCTCCGAACCTTTTACCAAACTAGGTTTGGGGTCGACTTTTTAAGTATACTACGATACGGCTGAACTTTGTTTTCCTATGCGCAGCGACTGCCATTAAACCTCCATAATCCAAATACTAGACGATATATCGATGTTCTGCAGAAAGACTATTGTCGGACTTTTTAGGGCTCCCAAAGGCTCTGCGAGGCGAGGAAGGCTCTCCATATGTTAAGAATGCTCACCCACCCATAGACTGACCTGGCTTAGATGGCTTAACTTCGCACTGCTTAACTAACACTTCGCCAAAAGCTATGTATTTTGTTATGTGCTTGTATTTAAATATAGTACCTATATTATACTATACTTATAAATCGACTTATAAACATCACATACGTTGAATATATGCAATAACATGCTTATGTAAATAATACCATAAATTATTCAAAATGATATAACCACAGTCGTTATCGAGTGATAGAAACAAAGACCAATTATCTATTCTCTGCTAAACTATTATAATCAGATTGCTCAAGGGCAGACTAGTAATTACAACTGATTGTGGCCGTAGTACTATCAATAGTAACCTAATTTAAAACAGCCTTAGTGCTGAAACAGAAGCTAATTTGTTGCCTAATAAATATAGTAATTCAAATAGTTCTGAGAATATTACCAGACCAGACATATTTTTTTTTAAAAGACCGCCCGCATTAGGAAAATATATTCCTGTGTCGCGGGGGACTTTACAAACATACATGAAACGGCCACAAAGAACACCCAGACTCGGAACAACAATTTGTTGATCACACAAAGTGTCGTCCCAAGTGGGGTTTAAACCCACAACACTCGGCGCAGTAGGAAACGGCGTGGCGACCACTTAAATCACTACGCCATCCGTGCCATACCAGCCAGCGAGGTATAGTAGGCCAACACCTCCTTCCTAAGGAGAGGACTATGTCCAGCAGTGGTCTATACAAGGCTGTTGATGATAGTGATGATAAAATCGAAATGTTTACAACGACAAGAGATTTGAAAGTTTTAACTACCTATGTTATTTAAAAAAAATGAACATAATTTCATTTTACATGGAGACTTTGAAAGAAATCTAACAATTTAAACTTAATCAAAAATATCTATTGAAAATCGCTTGAAATAATAAAAATGTAGAAAAGCAGTCAAGCCTCTTGTATTTATTGTAAAATACTCTAATCCAGCGTGTATTGATTGACAGAATTATACGACCGAAGATTCGGGTAACAGAAAAGATTAATACCAATATCGAGTTGATCTATAAAACCGCTCGATTACTGAGTAAGTTATTTAGGTAACAGTTACCTGGCAATATTGTTATCATGATTCGTTCGACAGTCCTTATTCGTGGTAAGGTCGTTCTGTTGATTTGCGCTACAGAAGTCACATCGCGAGAGCTCTTTACGTAATGATGGGAATTTAGCTTTTAATGACCTTCACTGACTAGTAAAGGTAACGCAGTTAGTTTATTCTTATTTCTGAATAAAACTTCAGGAGATTTCTACCAGGCCCATATGTAGCACTAAAACGGTTTATTTTTATCGCCCTTTCTTAAATAGCATAAAAAATATTATTTAATTCTCATTGAAATTCGTAGCTTTTCAGATTAAAGTTACGATATACTGCATTAAAACCAGAATGAATAATCGTTACGGCAATAAGACTGTATGTTTCCCCCCATAAGAGCACTCATAAGGAGCAGTGATTGATATGCTATAACATTATTTATGGGGCTACGTTAAGACTTGCAAGGTCAGAAACACTTTAAGTACACAAGTGTATACATCGTTGCCGATACTAATAACCTTAATTTATCTTCGTAACTGTTCAAAGTTTAACGTGTGTGCGTAATCAGTCTTTGAATTGCGTAAGAAAGTACGTATAATTTATGTACAGTATGTTATCGAACGGTACCAGATTTTAAAATATAATGGGAATATTATGATGAAGAAATAATATGTTACAATGTCATGTAGAATAGTATCATAAAAAGAATTTAGAAATCCATACCAACTGGCCAGCTGAAAAGTCAAAACAATGTCAATTTCATTTCGTCTAAAAAATAAGAACTTAGTCTTCAGTTTTATAAAATAATTCCTTTGAGTTTTCATCTGACTACATGTCTTGGAATTATAATGTCTTCTTTATCATCATTTGTTTTGCTAATTTTATATCTTTAAGACTACTAATAAGTTTAAGGAAACCAAATATAGTAATATCGATAACTGACTCAAATGATACTAAAGGTAAACCAACGGGAATAGGCGCTTAGGGTATTAATAGGGTCAACTACGGGTAATGATAGTTCCCCATGGCTTACTGACGAAACGACAACTAAACAATTCGATAAACACCATATCAACACAGTACCTACCCTAATATCAAATAGAATAACCGTAACATTAATCTCAACCTTACTACATCCACAATATTATCCCGCTAAACTATTAACTATCAATATTCCATACATAAAACATTCCCACTGTACATGATATGTTACAGTATGTAATAAATGATCAATCCCTTTGTGAGCTAATGGCTACCTTCGAGGTTAATGGAATCCAAAGTCATGTGATTAAGACAGGTAATTGTGGATTCCGATACTCGAGATTGGCTATTTATATATACGGTAAGGACTTATTAGAAATACGATTGGTTGTTTAGCTACTAATTAATGCAACTAAACTCGGTTCCAAAAATAACGGGTCAGTCACATAAAAATGAATATCTCCCGAACTACGTATGCCATCCTAATGAAACGAAGACTGTTCAATTGAGAATTTAATTATACAGATAAAAAATAAAATAAAACTTAAATCTAAACTCTCTAACTCTTAACTTATCTCTAAATTAAAAAAAAACTAAAGTAGTCATATTTTTCTTAAGATTACATTTTTTTATGATTGTTTTTTTGCTATTTTTCATCACTTTCTTCATTTAATACTTTGTATTGCCTCCACGAGCTCTTCTGACAGCTTCCAGGCGATTAGGCATGCTGTACACCAAATTTCGGAGCCGGTGCTGAGGAATACCTTCCCATTCCTCCACCAGTGATTGTTTGAGCTCGGGAAGCGTGATTGGTGGGGGGTTTCGACCTTTCACGCATCTCTGAAGCTCGTCCAAGGCGTGCTCGATGGGGTTTAAGTCCGGGCTTCGCGCTGGCCACTGCATGAGTTCGATACCGACCTCTTCAAGGTAGTCATGTGCAATTCTGGCGTTATGGGGACGCGCATTATCATGTATTAATATGCCATGCCGGTCCATCCTGGCCATGAAAGGACCTACATGTTCATTGAGGATCTCTTCCACGTACCTCTCTGCATTTAGAGTTCCATTTTGAATGAGTATCAGCTCGGTGCGGGCCTCAGTAGAAATCCCAGCCCAAACTTGTATGGAGCCTCCACCGTACGCCACTTTTTCCTTCACACACGCTTGATGTAAGCGCTCCCCTGGTCTTCTGTACACCAACTGCCTACCATCATGCTTATAAAGCATGAATTTAGACTCGTCCGTGAACATTACTCTAGACCAATCGTCTAGTGTCCAGTTT